ACCCACAAGAAAAACGAGCCACAACACGGGAAGATATATGCACTCCAATGTTCATAGCTGCACTATTTACAATAGCAAAAAGATGGAGACAGCCAAAGTGCCCATCAACTGAAGAATGGATAAACAAACTGTGGTATATACACACAATGGAGTACTATGCTACATTGAAAAATAACAAGGAAGCTGCATGCCACTTCCTAATATGGATGAACTTTAAGAACATTATGTTGAGTGAAATTAGTCAATCACAAAAGGAAAAATACTGCATAGGACCACTACTGTAAAAGACTAAGAAAAAGAACCCATACTATTCCACTAAAATGGATGCTTATCTGAATGCTAGGGCGTAGGGGTGGGGTTAAGGATGAGAGGGAAAGGTGGAACACAGGGAAGGGAATAGACACGGGATAGCTTGGGTGTTGGGGAGGGGGCCAATATACAAGTAGGGATAGGGGAATGGAGAAACAAAGCAGATGGGAGAACAGACAGGTAGGAATGAGCTAAATGGGACAGAGGTAATAAATGATGTAGGCACAGCCTTGGAACAACAGGGATCTGGGATACAAAGTCTGGGACATGGTTGGTATGGGGAAATGGGGGGAATAATGTTGAGATGCTTGGCTGACTCTTGAACCTTGGTTTTCCATGCACTATATTATAAAACAGTCACGGGAGAGTAGAGGGAGGAATAGCCAAAAATACCACCATAGAAAGCTTGTAAGTCCATCTTCTGCCTGGAACTGATTGGAATACCTAAAAAGGGGCTACAATATGTCCAGTATAGGGATGGGCAACTTGAACATTGGCTACCCAAAATGGGAGGAGGGATACAAAGGTAAGAATTGACTGGCTTGCAAGCTTTCAAGAGGAAACATGGATCGACGGGGGCCAGGAGGGGAGGGTAGAGTCTCAAGTAAGTAATATCCAACCTGTCTAGGAAGGGCTGATAAAAAAAAATGTGGATGGGTCTCTTGTGATGCAAGGACGAATAATTGTTATCAGGATGGATTGTGAGGACTGGAAAGGTAAAGGTGGATATTATATAGCAAGGAGGGATGTGATTAACCTTTCAGTCTAGAAGCGAAGGCCCCTGGGACCATTACTGGAGAAGAGCAGAGATCGGGACCCCACCCAGAGAAGCAGTGAGGCCTGAGATGGAGACAGAGAGGATGACATGAAGAGATGGAGTGGCTGAGGACTTGAGATCCAGGGAGGGAAGGGAGCTGTGTGCTAAAGACCGTGGGGGGAGGGGGGAGCCTGCGGGGCATAACCTTTGGTTGGGTGATGATGCATGGACGGATGGTAAGTATGGCCATGAAACGATGTGTGATTGAAAGAGTGTAAGGCTAATGTTCCCCCATGTAAACTATCAAACAATAAAAAAATTTTTTTTTAAAGTTAACTGAAGCATTGTTTGCTTAGCACTCAAAATAATGGGAATTTTTATTTACTTTCTGTTCTTTCTATGATTATATTAAAGTCATAATTCATCTCATTCATCTGAGGAATAAAAATAAATATTTGACTTATAATATCAATTGAATTATAAATTGACTTCAATAAAACTTATTCAATTAAATACTCAATGTAATCTTTTAACAGAATTAATAAAGACAATATTAACTAGTACCTATAAAAAAAATGAAATAGACCACATAAAGATAACTATCCTAGGCATTTATGAGCTGAAATGGACTGGTGTTGGCTATTTTGAATCAGGCAATCATGTTTTTTTATGCTGAGAATGACAAATTGAAGGAAAATAGGATCACATTTTTTTGTCAAAATTAGCATTTCAAAATCTATCCTGTAGTACCATGCTGTCATGGATAGAATAGTATACAAACACCTACAAGGTGGATCCGTAGGATAAGCACTGGACTATGAACCACAGGGTTGGCGTCTCCAGTCCTCTAGCCACTCCATGAGAAAAAGATGGAACTTTCTGCTTCTACAGTGATTTGCATCCTTCCCTATACAGGGTGATTATGATTTGGAAACAACTCGGTGGCACTGAGCAACAACAAGGAAGACAAGTTAATATGGCTGTTATTTAAATTTATACATTAACCAATATCTTAGACTGGGTTTTCTAGAGAAGCATAGCCAATGAAACATATATGTAGGGAGAGAGAGAAGTTTATTATCAAGGATATGGCTTACAATGGTAGAGTCCCATCAGAAGAGAGAGCAGGAAGAATCCCTCCAGAGTGTCCATTATGTTGGGAGCAGGTCACACCCCCAAGTGAGCCTACCTTTGATTGGCTGCTCATAGCCAGTCATCAGAGTTATTTATGCTTATATTAGATTTCATCACTATAGGAATAAGCACATTCCAACTGCTGAACCTGGACATCCTGGCCTAGTCAAGTTGACATAGAACCCTAGCCATTAGAGTCCACCCTGGTAAATTTGAAACCTATAAACTATCTGCATAATCTCTCAATAAAGAAAATTGTAAAGTCATGCTTGAGGCTAACATGATATAACTAAAATACATATAACCAAAAACATGCTAGCCCCATTTATATCTTATGTATCTTAAATGAACAAAGCAAAGCTACTTGATGCACATATACAAAAGAAAACAAAAAATATATATTCATTTAAATGTCCAAAAGGCACATTCTGCATGCCAGCCTCCTGCATTTACACAGCTTTACTCTGTCCAAGGGCCTAGAGTCCATAGCTTTGCTATCTGTCCATGCCACCACCTCTATTGCCATCTCTGTTGTCATCAGTTTTCCAGGCAGAAATCCCAGGCTCTACTCATGTTCTTCCTTAATGATGGTCCTAAGATTGTTCCTGAAATGAAAGATAACTACTCCCACCTTTTAGTTGCACATCTTTAATAATTACAGTTTTGACTAGCACAATTAATCTTACTAACAATTACAATCAAAATCATAAAAATCCTATCAGCATCATCCCTCACCCCTTTCACCAGATCTATCTGTAAAAGAGGAAAACTAGTCAATGGGGATTCTCCCTTGTTCACTCATTCTAAAACTAAGTACACACATAAAAGCTTGTAAGTCAGCCACTTCATGTCTTTTTAAGTATTTTATCCCTTGCCCCTTCGTTCTTTCTCTTACAAAGCCTCATAATTTCGTAGGTCTGGAGCCACTTCAATGAATCCTCACAGCACCAACTACTTAAACCTAGTGGAGACCATGTCTTACTTGGGCTGATTTTGAGTTTGGTCCTCTTGCCTTCTTGTGGAGTCAGGTGCAGCAAACTTCCAATCTCTGCCTCCACCTGTCCCTTTCCCCTCTACAACAGAAAGTCTCCCCAGTGGAGGGGATGGAAATTCTGGTAACAGAGAGAAGGTCATGGCTTCCACTCTACCCTGCTGAGGGTTCCAGGAATAGAGGCTAGAATCCTGAGTCCAGGTTGGACTAGAAGGAGCCGTGTGGGACATGAGGGACATATGATTTCTCCCCAGAGTCCCCCAATCTCAAGAAGATGGGCTTTTCCCCACCCTCTTGCTGAGCAGCTCTGCTAGGAACCCCTCCTTCAAATGTTGGCTCATTTTCTTCCTCACCCCCAAGATCCACAGGGCAATTTGAGGCAGGATCAAGGTAGGCACACAATATGCATACTTTATGTCAAGTTTCTGGTACACAGTGCCCCACTGTCAATGATTGGATCCTGACTGTTAGGGACACTATAAGACAGAGTTGATTTCCTTCCTAGGATGTCAGAGACTATAAATCTATAAGGAATCAAAATGATTCATCTATCTCCTGTGGAACAACAACTGGGTTCTGATCACGAACCTCTTGGTTAACAACACAATGCTTAAACCAGTATGCCATCAGGACCCCTTTTGGTACACAGTAGGCATGCTTTGGGTGAGATGCCTGGCACACAAATAGCTTGAGTGTCAGTTGCGAGACCCTCCCTCTCTTCAGGGCTCCTGCCCTTTCCTGTCTTCCTGTGAAGCTCTCATCCACCTCCCCTGAGATCTCCATGTGATGCCCCATTTCCCAGATGGGAAGACTGAAGCTCTGAGAAGGGCCAGCAAAGTTCATAGTCAAAGCAAGGACCAAGGGAACCCACCCATCTTCCACTCTGTTCTCACCCCTGTCATCCAGAACCAAAGCCCCTGTGTCTCCTGTCCCCACCGGTCACTTTATTTCCAAATCTGATCCTAGTCATCCCTGTGAGGCAGGAGTCTATTCCTGCTATCTCCCAGGCTGACTGGAGTCAGGACTGGCTTCTGGTAGGGCTGAGCAGTGGAGTCAGAGCTTCAAGATTAAATCTTTAAGTTCAGGCTTTTGCCTGTTGCACCCTGACCATGGAAGGGCCGGGGCGGCTATAAACTTTAGGGCTCAGAGTAACCTTTGCCATCCCTTAACCCATCCCCCTTCCCTCAAGGAAGGTGCTGGATATAGAGAATCGGCTGTCACTGTAGCCTAAGCCAGCTCTTCAGCCTCTCTGTATTCTATTGCATCCCTTCCTGGCTTAAATTTTGGGTGGTTGTTAGACAGGGAGGAGAGAGCTAGGTGTGCAGGGATTGGCAGACTGGTCAGTAGCTATCCTCAGGTGAGCAGCACGGACAAAGAAGTCGCAGGAGGAGGGCAGAAAAGGTTGTCCAGGACAAGCTGCTGGAGCTAGACCATTCATGGCTGTGGGTGACAGGGCTGGGATGGTTCTGGTCTGACATGGAAGTGGTCCTAACACTCTGGCCTACTCCAGAAAGCAAGCTGGTCCAGGGAGGAAACTAATGAGTAACTAACAATTTCTGTGGGACTGGCAGTTGGGGGTAGGACTTTCGGGACATCTGTCTCTCTCTCTCACTCCATCTTTTTCTCTCTCTCTCCCCACCTCCTCTTCCACATTCCCTGAGCTGTCTTCCCCTTTCTGACCCCATGTTTACCCATCTCTGCTCCCTACCTTGTTCCTGGAGTCCACACCCATGGCCGCTCCCTCTACTTTGTGCTCACCCCATCTCTGCCTTGGAGCTCACCTTTAATGCTCTTTCTCTTGTCCTGCAGGATGTCACTGCTGAGCCTGTCATGGTTGGGACTCTGGCCCGGGACAGCCTCCCCCTGGCTGCTCCTGCTGCTGGTCGGGGCCTCCTGGATCTTGGCCCGCATCCTGGCCTGGACCTACACCTTCTATAACATGTGCAACCGCCTTCGGTGTTTCCCACAGCCCCCAATGAGGAACTGGTTCTTGGGACACCTGGGAACGGTGAGTGAGTTGGCAGAATGAATCTGGGAGTTCGGAATCAGAGCAGTCAGGATCAGGAGGTGGGCACCAGGGAGAAGGTGAGTCTAGAACATCAGAGAAGTGAGGGGAATCCCTCTTTTCTTTACGCCCCACCCCAGGTTCATTCCTCTCATCTGTTTCCATGCCCTCCACCCTGACACATGCATGAGCTGTCTCTCTCATTCCTGGGTCATTTATCTGCCCATGTTTTCCCCACTGGGGTACCTCTAGGTTACCGGTGGACTCCCAAAGCAGGCTAGACAGAACTGGACCCCTGACCTTCCCACAGTCTCACCCTGAACAGAGGTCATTGAAAATTTCAGGCCAGTGCCCACCCTTCTAAAGGCTGCTTCCATAGCCACCAGGGAACAGCTGACCAAAAGAGAGGTGCAGCCTCCCCACCACTCACTTCCTGGGGCACCTGCCTCTCCTTGCAGTCCTCCACCCCCAAGATATACCAATGAGCCCCACTGCCTGACCTGGATACAGGTTGGCCACTTCCCTGTGCAAAGCCTTCCTGGACCTCTGCCGTAGCCCTGATCACAGTTGTAATTAAATGGTTAATTGCCCCATCATTTGTTTATGATTGAGGACCCTGAGGACTTGGTGTGAACTCTGGGGCCCCGATAGAAAGTGGGTACAAGTCCTGATGCTGTGGCCCTTAAACCACACTGCTCTGCAAACCCTACCAGGTGACCTCCCCAGTGATGGTCCCCTGTGCGGTAGCCACACCCAGAATGAGAAAACCATCACCTGGAGCCAAGCTCAAGGAGCCCATTGGTACAGTGGGTTAAGTGCTGGTCTGCTAACCCCGCAGGAGAAAGATGAGGCTATCTGCTCATGTAAAGGTTTACAGTCACAGAAAGCCCATGCCACAGCTCTCCGCTGTCCTACGGGGTCACCATGCATCTGAATTTCTTCCACAGTGGGGGCTGGTGGGGAGGAGCCAAGTTCTGTGTCTTCTCCCTGTTCTCTCACAGACTTGGAGCCTGTCTCCAGGGTCCTCCTGCCCATGAAGGACTCTAGGTCTTTGTAGGGAGTCCCTCCCTCAGGGCAGGACACTGACAAACTTCTGGAATCTAAGAAAGGACTCTTTCTGTAGAGGTGACCACTCCTTGTTCTTTGCAGATCACCCCCACGGAGCAGGGTTTGAAGGATGTGACTAAGCTGGTGGCCACCTACCCCCAGGGCTTTAAGAACTGGCTCGGTCCCATCATCCCCTTCATCTCTCTGTGCCACCCTGACACCATCAAGCCTGTTGTCAGCGCCTCAGGTACCTACACAGAGCTTGTGATGGTGGGAGTCATGGCAACTTCTGAGAAGGAGGGTCCCTCATCGCCCCTGCTTCTGCATTGTCCCTGTAGGACCCCAATTGCTGCCCTCTTCTGTCTTCCTTCTTTCTCTTTCTTTATTTTACTTACCAGCTTCCATCTCACTGCCTGCACCTTCTCCTAGTGTTCTCATTCCAGGGCCCAGTCCTGGAAAAAACCCCAAACACGAGGAACAGAACATGGGCAGAGACACCCAACCCCATGTGGTCAATAGTGGGCCAGAGGGAGAGATGAGCTGAGGCAGCCCAAAAGATAAAGAAGGCTCCTGGTGGGGCAGGCTAGAAGACTTCCTTAAGAGGGGTTTCTGGAAATGGTTGTGGTATGAAGAGTTGTTTAGTGCCGTCCAGTTGGTTCCGACTCATAGCAACCTGTTTAGGATTTCCAAGGAACAGTTGATGGGTCTTGTGGTTTGCAGTCCAGTGCTAATCCTCATGAGTAAGAAGTTTTAAAATCACAGGCAGGATACATCATCAAAGAAAGATCAGCATGAAAAACCCAAAACAAAAATAACAGTATGATTGGCTGCCACAAGAACAAGCAAGTTGTTCACTGGGAAACCATCAAGGCAAGTAATCAAGTACCTTCAGGACAAACCCCCTCCAAGACTGAAACTCAAAGGGAACACATGAGCAGACATGTAAGCTTGCTGGATACCACATTGGTCTACTGGAAGAGGGGGAAAGGCAACAATGAAGAAATAAGCTGAGTTCAACCACATTCCATAGACTCCTGGTGACCTGGAGATGAGAGAGAGAAGAGGAAGGGCTGGTTGGTCCAAAGTGTGGTGAGACCTGGGGACTCCTGAGCCCATAGACAAGAACATAGACAAGGAGGGCTAGAGCTGAGAGTGAAGCATCCACCAGATAGGAAGTGAAGGGAGACGCAGAAGAACACCCAGACTTGCAGATAGTACCCATTTGACTTAGCGTTGATGACTTGATCATCAGAACTTGACTAGAAGATTAAAAATTATTATTTTTGATAAAGGAAACAAGTGTAAATCTCTACAATTTGATGAACTTGATCTATACTTACAGATGTAGTAGTTCAAAATACCAACTGAGAGGAAAGGAATCATCACATCAAGTACCAATCCTATCCCCTCTGTATACAGGGTAACTAGGGACAGACAACTTAGACATTGGTACCTAAAATGAGGGAGCAATAAAGGCACAAAGTGACTGGCTTACAAGTTTTCAAGAGGGATACAGTTTACGAGAGTACAGGGGAAGGTAGAGTCCCCACTGAATAGTTTTCATCTTGTCTAGATGGGTCTAGTAAAACAAGATGGGGATAAGATTCTTATGATTCAATAGTGAGTAATTGTTATCATGAGTAATTGTGACTGTCACAACAGTAAAGGTAGAAGTTTTGTAGCAAAAATTGGGGAGTAGTTAATCTTGCAGTCCAGAAGTAGAGGACCCTAGGACCATCAAGGGAGAAGAGCACAAGAAGAATGTGGGACCCTATCCAGAGAAGCAGTGACACCCAAGATGGAGAAAGGGAGCTGCTGAGGACTCTAGACTCTTGGAAAAAGAGAGACTGAGTGCTGGTGACCAGGAGGCAGGCTTGCAGAATGTGCCCCTTGGTTGTTTAAATTATATATTCCTGAATGTTTTTGTGTACATTCCCCATTCCACCCCACCCCACCCCCAGAATACCAGAGGGAATGGAAGCAAATTCTGTTGAATGATGATGTACGGAAGAGATTGTAATCATTGCAATGAAATGGTGTAAAACTAATGTAAACTATCACTCAGTTCACAATTTTTTTTAAATCAGGGTCTGGGTGGTGCTGTGGGCAGTGGTGGTTTCTGGAAATCCTGCTAGAACTGGCTTCTGTCCACCCACCCCACAGGCAGCTCTATCAGGAGGACCTGGGTCTTACTTCCATGAGTCCCTTCTACTTCAACCTGTTACTTGTCCACCCTAAGTTTGTTCCTCCGCTGCTCCTGACCCCAGGTGCCTCTCCTAGGAGACCCCACCTCATCTCTGCTCCTGTCCTTTGTACTTTACCTTTGCAACCTGCAAGGGAGAATGGGCAGTGTCTGAAACAGATCTCACCTCTGTCACTAACCTGCTCAGGGACTCAGGGCAGGTCCCTAACTCTTCGGTCACTGAGGTCCCTTTTAGTTGTGAGTGATGGAAACTCAACCACGTGTGGTCTAAGCAAAGAAAGGGCATCTATTGACTTAAAAGTCAGAGAAGGTGGCCTTCAGGCACAAGAGGATCCAGGCCTCAAACAATGCCACCAGGAATCTGCCTTCCTCTCTTGGTTCTATTTTCCTTCTCAATTTTACCTTTAAGGCAGCTCTTTCTTCACACTGTAAACAATGATCTAAGAAGTTCCATTCCAATGGGAAAGCTCACCTTTCCCCCCAGAGTGCCCACTGATATCCTGGCCTGTGTCCCAGCACAAACTCTCAAGCCATCTCTGGGACTCTGCTTGCCCAGTCTTGGTGAACATGGATGTTCTCAAGAACTGTTGGTTTGGGGAAAGAAGCAGCTCAATGCTTACGAACTCAAGCCCTGGATTACAACAGATGTTGGCTTGGATCTCAGGCAGTCATTTACTCACTGGGGAACTCTAAGCAAGTGACATCATCCTTCAGCGCTTCAATTTCCTCACCTGGAAAAGGTGGTAAGAAGAGCACCAAGGTAAAGGGAGTATTGGGTTCCCAATTGGGAGAGGCTGTTTATGCCCATGTGACTGAGGGATCCTGAATGGTATAGTGTCAGGAAGGGGCGTAGCATAGAGCCAATAGGTGAGTGGGCAGGGACTCAGAGTTTGCATGGGTCTCTACCTGAAACCCTTCTCTCTGGTACCTCCAAGAGTGTGAACTCAGTCCTCTTTTTTCCTGCCCACATCTAGAGCTCAGAGGAGGATTTCTGGTACATAAGGGTCTAGCCAGCGCCTTTAGAACTCTGGCATGCAATGGTCCTAATCTTCAACCCCACCTTCATTAAGCCTGTTCTCTTGACCCCAGATAGGCATATGCTACCCACAGTCTGTTGCTGCTGAGCCTCTGTCCTGCCTTCAGCCAGGCAGGAGTCCAGGTGTGCAGGTAGGAGAGCACCTAGACCCACCTGTCTGATGTAGGTCATGTCTGGTCATGATGCCCGCTGAGTGCCACATAAGGTACATGTTTGTAAATGGTCTCAATCACATTTGGGCTCACATTTGGTCCATGACATTATGGCCTGTCAGAGTGAGTCTGAGATTCCATTTGAGATTGTACAGATGGCCTGTTGGTCATGGGCGCCATGCTTGGGCTTGTCTGATGTCAGAGCTGGGCTGTATCTCAAACTCAGGGTCCCTGTGTGAAGTGTCTGGTAGGTTACTTCAATCTTGTGTGAGGTTGTTGTTGTTGTTAAGTGCCATCGAGTCAATTCCGACCTTGTACGGGGTTTCTGAGGCTGTAAATCTTTATGGGAGCAGAAAGCCAGAAGTGAAGTAAGTCCAAAGATATGTGGTCCAGTCACACCTGGGTCACATCTGAAACCTTATTGGGAACATAGTTAAATCCTCTCTGGGTATCATGTGTGTGGTATTCTGAGGTCATGTCAGAGGTTTCTGGTCGTTATCAGAGTATGTTTTGTCGTGTTATATATATGTCAGGGTGTGTCTGGAGTCCTGGTGTGGCCCTGCAGAATAAGCACTTGACTACAAGTTTAGTTAGAACCACAAGGTCACTATGAGTTAGAACTAACTCAATGGCACTTAACAACAACAACAAAGATGTGTCTGCTAATGTTGTGATGAAGCTGGGCCATGTTACCATATGTCCAGGCCATGTTAAAGATGCATGTTGTTGTTGTTGTTGTCAGGTGCCATCGAGTCGGAAATGACTGATAGCAACCCCATGCACAGCAGAATGAAACAATGTCCGATCCTGGGCCAACCTTACTACCGCTGCCACACATGACACCATCAATGATGCCACCTGGCTGATCCACCTCGTTGGGGGTCTTCCTCTTTTTCTCTGACCCTCCATCTTACCCAGCATGATATCCTTCTTCAGTGGCTGTTTCCTCCTGACAATATGTCCAAAGTATGAGAGTTGAAGCTTAGCCATCTTGGCCTCCAAGGAACACTCTGGCTGCACGCTTCCAAAACAGATCTATTGGTTCTTTTGGCAGTCCATGGCACTTTTAGTATTCTCCTCCAACACCACAACTCAAAGGCATCAATTCTTCTATGATGAATTGTCCATGAGAGCCAAAATATGACCTTGAATTTATCCCACCTTAATTTAGAGACCATCTGAAGAACAGATTTGATACATTAAACACTAAAGACCGGACACCAGAAGAGTTGTGGGATGACATCAAGAACATCATACATAAAGAGAGCAAAAAGTCATTAAGAAGACAAGAAAGAAGGAAAAGGTCAAAATGGATGTCAGAGGAGACTCTGAAACTTGCTCTCCAGCGTAGAGAAGCTAAAGCAAATAGAAGAATTGAAGAGGTCCAAGAGCTGAACAGCAAATTTCGAAGATCAGCTCTAGAAGATAAAACCAAATACTATAATAAAATATGCAAAGATTTGGAACTTGAAAAATCCATGCTAGAGCATGTTATGTCATGTTATGGACATGTTTGTGTGTCTTGTTGCCATGTTGGAGCATGTTGGGCTCATGTTCGCTATTTCAGATCCATTCCAGGAGATGTTAGAGGAGGCAGAATCATGCCAGGGTATCCTCGGTTTGTGTAATGCACATTGTAGGATGTTGGGCTGTGCTCAGTGTTCCACAAATGTTGGATGTAGAGATGAGTGCAGGAGAGTTGGGATGTGTTGTGCAATGTTAGGGTGAATCTGACATGTTAGGGTGTCTTTGTAGGCTATACTTTTGTGGACTCTTGCTACTACAGACTAATCTGGTCTCCACTGTGTCCTCCCTGCTATTCTGGTTTTGTCCCCATTCCTGCTAAGTGGGGCTTAAAGGAGGTGCTTGTAGTGGGAGCCCACACACCCCCACACACAGAGCTCCTCCCTAACTCCTCTCATGACTCATGATGCCACTCATTCATGTTAGCTGCCATCACACCCAAGGGCATGATCTTCTACAGCTTCCTGAAGCCCTGGCTAGGTGAGTAACTGGGGATGAAGGGGATTGGGAACTACCTTAGTGTTCAGGGAAAGTTGTTGTCCTTGCCCACTGCCCATGGTTCCTCTACTAGGGGAGGGTCTTCTACTGAGTACTGGTGACAAGTGGAACCACCACCGCCGCATGCTGACACCAGCATTCCACTTCAACATCCTGAAGTCTTACGTGAAGATCTTCAACAAGAGTGTCAACGTCATGCATGTAAGTCCCGTGAACCCAGGCTACCTGATGGAGACTTGTGGGGAGGGTCGTAGACAGATGTGGCCTGGAGTTTTGCCTCTATTGGGCGACTTTGGAACCATTGTTCATCTTCTCTAAGCCTCGGTTTCCTCATTTTCAAATTGGAAACATTGATCTCCACTTTCAGGGGTGTTCAAAGTGACCAAATGGAACCATGCCCCAAACACATACCAGATTTGCAGAAGGTGTTAATGTCTATGTTCCCCTCGCTGAAGTCTTGGAATCCTGAGACAATGTGGATGACAAAGGTGGTAATTTTATACTAGGACTTCTAATGTGGTGTTGTGGGTCAATGTGCTGGACTGCAAAGTCAGTTTGAACTGCAAGGTCGGTGGTTCAAACTCACCAGTTGCTCCTCATAAAGCCTATACAGTGTCGTTATGGTTCAGAACCAACTCGATGGCTCTTAAAACAACAATTGCTAAGTAAAAAGACACTTTAAAACTCACTTGCTTTTAGAACCAGCATTTGCAGTTGCTAATGAGTCCACTGGTCAGCAGGGTCATTCTTCTGTCTTGGCTGTGTTCACTCACACATCAGTGGTCAGATGTAGATCAGGCAGGCAGCTCTGCTGGTCCAACTTGGGCTCTTTCACGTGTAGGATTCTGTAGGATTCACATGGCCTTGGCTGGGGCAACTGTCTCCTCCAAGTGTTTCTTACCTTCCAGCTGAGATTCCAAGCTTATTCCCAGGGTGAAGCCAAGATCCTAAGAGAGTAGAGTAAGCTGCAACACCTCTCGAGGTCTAAGTTTAGGATTGTCATGCTGCAATTTCACCAAGTTCTATTGACCAGAACAAGTCCCAAGACCATCCCTGAATCAAAGCGTATGGGAATCGGCTCCACTTCCTAGTGGAAGATGCTGCAAGGTCACATTGCAAAAGGTGTAGATACAAGGAGAGGTAAAGAATAGAAAATAAGTGTCTGGAATTTGCAAGGTGATAAATTATCTTCTTACTATTTCATGAATCCTTCTAGAAGACATTAGTCTCCTAAGTCAGAAACAAAGGATTTTTGTATTCACTGCACAGTAGGTATCATGTGCTTCCTGTGGTTTGATCCTTCCTCCAAGACCCCCAGATTCCATGAGAGTGACAGTGATGGGCCTAGATGGGTGAAGTATATGGCAATACTGGAGGAATTGTGAAATTAGAGAATATGCAACTTTTATAGTAAGCAGAACCAAGCCTGATTTTTATTCAAGGGGAGAAGAGACATTATTACCTGATTTCTCACATTCCTTGCTGCAAACATGAGAAATGACTCAATTAAAAAAGCTTAACAGCCTTGAATTGCTCATATACCCAGGAAACTGTGCAGGGAGGCACACTAAGGGCACATTGTTGTTATTGTTGTTGTTGTTTTTAGGTGCCATTGAGTCAGTATGGACCCATAGCAACCTTATGCACAGCAGAAGGAAACACTGCCCAATCCTGGGCCAATCTCACTACTGTTGCCACGCTTGAGTCCATCGATGCTGCCACTTGGCCAATCCATCTCGTTGGGGATCTTCCTCTTTTACTCTGACCCTCCGCCTTACCCAACATGAGATCCTTCTCCAGCGACTGCTCCCTCCTGACAATATGTCCAAAGGATGAGAGATAAAGCTTGGTCATCTTGGCCTCCAAGGAGCACTCTAGCTGTACTTCTTCCAAAACAGATCTATTGGTTCTTTTGGAAGCCCATAGCACTTTCAATATTCTCCTCCAACACCATAACTCAAAGGTATCAATTCTTCTACAGGCACATAAGGACTGCCATTTCTGAACATGATAGCAGTTTTTCAATAAATCTAGGAAAAGGATATGATGATGAAGAGTATGCAAGCTATGATTTATTGTACATTCACAATATTTCAGAGAGATTATGCAAGTCATTGTTGATTGTGTATTCACAGTATGTGCCATTTCATAACATATACTAAATGAATTTGGACAATCCTGTGAAGGAGAGATGGTCAGTTTTGCACCATCACAGATGATGATTGACACAGTAGATTCAACAATCGGCTCAAACATAAGAAAGATTGTGAGGATAGTACAAGACCTGCAGTATTACATTTTGTCGTGCATAGGGTTGCTATGAGTTGGATCAATTCAGTACCACCTAAGAACAACAACAACACAAACAATGATGCTATGGGTCAAAGAAATTAGGCAACTTGTCCATGTTCACACAGCAGATAAGTGGGCTGGTAATGGTAGAGCTGGGAATGCAACATGGTTTATAATGACACTGAAGAAGGTCATCTTAACTGTCAGTGAACATTTAACCATTGGTACCCAAGGGAGACATTAAGTTGAGCATATGAGACAGAGCTGGGACCTGTATCCATGCCTCTTGACTCCCAGCCATGGGATTTTCACAATTTAATAGTTTCCAATCAGTTTCCACTCCCACCCAAACCTGGTCCACTCTGGGGATGGATGAAGGACCAGGAGTTTGCATCCTGAATAGAATTCTTCTAGGTGATTCAGACTGCAAAGGGGTCCCAGAGAAACCAGAACCCAGCCCCAGCTCTGCCTTCTTCTCTGGTCAGGCCAAGTGGCAGCGACTGGCCTCTGATGGCAACACCCGTCTGGACATGTTTGAGCACATCAGCCTCATGACCCTGGAGAGTCTGCTGAAATGTGTCTTCAGCTTGGACAGCAATTGCCAGGAGTGAGTGGTAAAGCTGGATCTGGGATCATGGACCTTGACCAAAGCAAGTAATTGAAGAGCGAGGACAATAAGAAGGGCAGTAAGAAGAACTTTCTTGGAGGAGGTGGGTCAGAGCTAGGCAATTAAAGGACAGGAAGTGAAGAGAAAGTGAGGTCCTTCCAGGTAGGTGGAAATGTTTGAGTCAAGCAAAGAAGACTAGGAAGAGCAGAGTGTGTGCAACAGACAGTGAGGAGACACATTAGAAATGAGGATGGAAAAGTAGGATAAAGGCCATTAAAATGTGAAGCAAAGGGGTGTGGATTTTCCTTAGGATCTCTGTGGAGCCATGGAAGGCAGTTGAGCAGTTGTAGGGCATAGAGAGGGCTGAGCTTTAGAAATCTGTTACCAAGGAAGACTGACCATCATGTAGACACAGGATGGTGTTGACATGGGTAGAAGAAGAGCAAGCAGGAGGATGGACCCCTTTAACAATTGGGAGAAGATAAAGTTTGAGGAGAATGGACTGTTAAAAATGATAGCATGATGTCTAAGCTCTTCCTGATGTTTGGTACCTAGAGGCAACCCCTTGGGATGGGGATGCAGGGAGAAAGGGAAAGTGTGAGGAGTCCTATCTCCTGGTTCATCCCCATCATGGGTCTCTTGGACCATCTTATCAGGGATGCTCACTTTTCTTATAGGAGGTAGTGCAGCCTTCTGAGTGGGAAGGTACCCTGCCTTTTAGGTATGTAAAGTTGCTGCCTATATTCTTGCCCTCATCCTGCAGGAAGCCCAATGAGTATATTGCTGCTGTCTTAGAACTCAGTGCCCTCATAGTGAAACGGCAGGAGCAACTCCTTCTTCACTTAGACTTTCTCTATCACCTCACTGCCGATGGGAGACGCTTCCGCAAGGTCTGCCGCTTGGTACATGACTTCACAGATGCTGCTATCCAGGATCGGCGCCGCAATCTCTCAGAACAGGGTGTGGATGACTTTCTCAAGGCCAAGACTAAGTCCAAGACGTTGGACTTCATTGATGTGCTCCTGCTGAGCAAGGTGAGTGCCTATATGCTGTTATCTGTGAAGTGGGCAAAACCTAAATATTAACAGTCAGATGGAAGAGCTGAAATGGGATCCAGCTGAGAATTTTTGTTTTCTTTACATTGAGATGCAATCCATATTGAAGGCTGTGGTCTTTGGTCTTCATCAGTAAGTATTTTAAGTCCTCTTCATTTCAGCAAGCTTGTATCATCTGCACATTGCAGATTGTTAATGAGTCTTCCTCCAATCCTGATGCCATGTTCTTCGTATAATCCAATTTAACGAATGATTTAATCAGCATACAGATTGAACATGTGTGATGTTACATGTAACAGTCCTGGAACACACCTTTCCTGATTTTAAACCATTCAGCATCCCCTTAAGGAGCTCTGATAGCGTAATGGTTATGAGGCAGGCTGCTGACTGCAAGGTCAGCAGTTTGAAACTACCAGCCTTTCTGCAGGAGAAAGATGAGGCTTTCTGCTGCCATAAAGGTGAAGATTTCTGCTCCTCAGAAACCCTATGCAGGGGCCGACTCCACAGCACACCACAACTACCACTATCTCCTTGTTCTTTTTGAACAACTGCCTCTTGGCCTCTGTACAGGTTCCTCATGAGTACAATTAAGTGTTCTAGAATAACCATTTTTTACCATATTATCCAAAGCTTTCTGAGGTAAAACAGACTGACATTTGCTATTTTGAATTACGCAATCCCAGGAAATGAAAATTTTAGGCTGAAGCTGAAGATAATTAAAACAATCCCATTAAAGTCAAAATACGAATTTGAGTATGTCGTTAGTTGGTGTCAAGTGGGTTCTAACTCATGGTGACCCTACGCAAAACAGAACCAAACACTACCCAGTCTTGTGCTACCCTCACGATCATTGCTACATTTGAGCCCAATGCTGTTGCTACTATATCAGTCCATTTAATTGTAGGTCTCCCACTTTTTGAAAAACAAAAAACAGTTCTTAGCCAGAGAAAGAGGAATACATTATTCAGAGGATAGAGATATATGATAATGTTACAGATGACTGTTAAAAATTTCACCATCATCGATTCAGGCTGCATTTCTGGAGTATCTCCTTGATTTTAATCATTCAGTGTCTCCTTGATCTGTTAAAATGACTGCATCTTGGTCTCTGTTCCTCATGAGAACAATTAAGTGTTCTGGAAAACTCATTCTCCTCAATGTTGTCCATAACTTGTCATGATCCACACAGTCAAAAAGCCTTTAGATAATCAATAAAGCACAAACATCTTTCTGGTGTTCTCTGTTGTCAGACAAGATTCATGTGATGTCATTAATGATATCCCTGTTCCACATCTTCATCTGAATCGGGCTTGAACCTCTGGCAGTTCACTGTCAATGTACTGTTGCAGATATTATTTAATTATCTTTAGAAAAATTTATTTGCATGTGATCTTAATTATAATGTCCAATGATTTCCACATTTCTTTATGTCACCGCTCTATGGTATGGGCACAAATATTGATCTCTTCCAATCAGTTGGCCGAGTAGCTGTCTCCCAGATTTCTTGGCATAGATGAGTGAGTGCCTCCAGTGTTGCATCAGTTTGTTGAAAAATTTCAATTCATTAATTCCCAGAGTCTTGTTTTTGCCAGTGCTTTCAGTGCAGCTTAAACTTCTTCCTTCAGTGCCATTGGTTCTTGATCATTTGCTACCTCTTGAAATGGCTGAACATCGACTATTTCTTCTTGGTAAAGTGACTTTGTATTCCCTTCATTTTCTTTTGACCCTTTCTGCATCATTCAATATTTTTTTCCATAGAATCCTTCAATATTACAGGTCAGTGCTTGATTTTTTTTTTCTTCAGTCCTTTCAGCTTGAGAAATGCTGAGCATGTTCTTCCTTTTTGATTTTCTAACTCCAAGTCTTTGTACATTTCTTTGTAAGAGTTGTCTGTGTCCTCTCAATCTGCCCTTTGATATTTTCTGTTCAGCATTCTTACTCCCTCATATCTTTCATTTGCTTTAGTATCTCTACACTAGAGAGCAAGTTTCAGAGTGTCCTCTGACATCAAATTTGGTCTTTTCCTTCTTTATTGTCTTCTTAATGATCTTTGGTTTCTTCCTGTGTGATGTGCTTGATGTCATCCCACAGTCTTCTGATTTTTGGTCATTAGTATGGAATGCATTAAATCTGTTCTTGAGATGGTCTCTAAATTTAGGTGAGATATGTTCAAGGTCAAATTTTGGCTCTCATGAACTTGTCTTAGTTTTCTTCAGCTTCAGCCTGAGCTTGCATATAAGCAATTGATGGTCTGTTCCACAGTCTGCCCCTTGTTTTGACTGATGATATGGAGCTTTTCCACCATCTGTTTCCTTACATGTAGTCAATTTGATTTCTGTGTATTCCATCTGGTGAGATAAAGATGTATAATTGTCTTTTATGTTGTTTAAAAAGGTATTTGCAATGAACAAGTCAATGGTCTTGCAAAATTCTATCATACTATCTCCAGCATCGTTTCTATCACCAAGGCCATATTTTCCAATTCATGATCCTTCATTGTTTGCAATCTTTGCATCCCAATCACCAGCAATTATCAATACATCTTGATTGTATGTTTGATCAATTTCAAACTGAAGAAGTTGATTGTCATTGTTAAGTGCCATGTAGTCAATTCTGACCCATGGTGACCTTGTATAGAGTTTCCGAGGAGTTGCTGGTGAGCTTGAACTGCCGACCTTGCAGTTCAAACGGCTTTGCAGTCTGGTGCATTAACCCACAGCACCACATCAGGACTCCGAAGAAGTTGGTAGATTTCTTCAATTTCATCACAACTGATTTTAGTGGTTGGTGCATAAATTTGCATAATGTGATGTTACTTTGTCTTCCTAATGGGCATCTGGATAGTATCCTATCACAGACAGCATTTTACTTCAAGATGGATCTTGATATGTTCTTTTTGATGATGAATGCAACCCCATTCCTTCTTAATTTGTCATTCTTTGCATAGTAAACCATGTGATTATCAGATTCAAAATGGCCAATGCCAGTCTATTTCAGCTCACTAATGCCTAGGATTTTGATGTTTATGTATTGCATTTTATTTTTTACAATTTCCAATTTTTCTAGATTCATACTTTGTACATTCCATGTTACAATGATTAATGAACGTTTACAGCCGTTTCTCTTCATTTTGAGTTGTGCCCCATCAACAAATGAAGGTCCTGAAGGCTTTACTCCATTTACGTCATCCTGGTCAACTCTACTTTGAGGAGGCAGTCATATTTTGAGTGCCTTCCTACCTGAGGGACTCATCTTCCAGTATTATATCTGACATATTCTGATGCTTTTCATCATGTTTCAGTATTCAATATTCTGGTGCTGATAGTGTCCCTCTGCTTTTCAAAAGGTTATCAGTAACTAAATATTTGGAAGTTGTCCATCTATCCTTCTTTCTATTCTGTCTTCATCTGGAAGCTCCACTGAAATCTGTCCACCATGGGTGACCTTGCTGGTATTTAAAATACACATGGCATAGCTTCCAGAATCACAGCAGCACACAAGCCACCACAGTATGACAAACTGACAGACGAGTTGCTAGGAGACAGAGCCAACTCAACAACACCTAACAATAGCAACAACATTAGGCCCAATTTTGTACCTGAAGTTGCCATAGAGTTTGCCCCATAGGAGATAAAGCCCACATTATTCGTTTGATAACTTATATAGACCAGGTGTTACATCTGCCCTCGTCTCCTCCAAAGAGAGAAAGAGGGGAGCAGCGAGTGACCATTGTTTGGGGTATAAATAAACCGTCTCCAAAAAGAAGGACACGTCTCTAGGTTTGCAATCCCTGAGGTATAAGCAAATGACTGTGGTGTTATTAAAAAATGGGCTGTGTAGCTTGATTGTGACCAAATGTCTCTCAAGCAATACTCAGTTTCTAACGTTCAGGGATAGTGGTCATTCAGTGTAAACCAGGTTGCTAGTATTTTTTGTGTGGTTTTTGTTGTTGTTGTTGTTTTTTCTCAGAAAGCTCTCATCATGCAGACATGTGGGAATATTCATGGAACATTGAATCCTCCCACCAAGAACAAAATAAGAGGACAGAATTAGCAGGAAGCCAGTGGGGAGGGGCTTTAGAGATGGTGAGGAAGAAAATGTCTATGACTACAGGGTGAGCTTGAGGTTCTGGATGGAAGATGGATCTTTACATATGACCTAAGCTGAAGTGCCTGCATGGACTCATGGTGACCTCACACATGACAGAATCAAACATTGCCTGGTCCTGGACCATTTTCATGATGCTCAGTGTGCCTCAGTCTGTTGTTGCGGCATTGTGTATCTTGAGTGCCTAACAACATAGGGGGCTTATTGTCAAACACTACGTTAGACGTTATTCTGTTGTGATCCGTAGGCTTTTCATTGATAAATTTTTGTAAGTAGATTGTCAGGTTTTTCTTCCTAGTGTGTCATAGTCAGAAAGTCCAATAGAATCCAAGGACTGTGTGCAGTTTTCCAGTTAGCCTCAGGGACCCTTAGTTTGTGTAATTAAGGAATGGTGATAGTCTTCCTTTCTCCCCAGGATGAAGAAGGAAAAGCATTGTCAGATGAGGATATCCGAGCGGAGGCAGACACCTTTATGTTTGCAGGTAAGGGTCCCAGCTTGGAATTGTACTGGGGACAGGGAACTCTTCTGTCCAGGGACTTGGCAGGTGGACTGGGCCACACCATTCTGCCACACCATCCCCATCCTCCTTGAGGACCTGGTTACTTTCTAGTCCTGAAGTAACCCAGTGACCCAGGCCCTCCTGGCTGCCCCCCAGGCCATGACACCACAGCCAGTGGCCTCTCCTGGATCCTGTACAACCTCGCCAAGCACCCAGAATACCAGGAGCGCTGCCGAAAGGAGGTGCAAGAGCTCCTGAAGGACCGCGGGACAGAGGAGATTGAATGGTGAGTGCAGACTCTCAGGACCTCTTCCTGGAGACCTTTGCTTGGCTCTGTTGGGGATGGGAGAAGATCATTCTACTGATTCTGCCCTAATTGCTTAGAGAGAATAGGAGCAGAGACCAGATGCAGTGTCTGGTACTCAGTGTGGTCAGCAGGGGAAAAATTGTGTGTGGTTTGGGGTCAGAAAGATCTGGTCTGTGAGAGAAGAGCAACATTGTGTGAGGGCAGATACCACTTAGCATGTGCTCAGCAAGTAAAATCCCCTCCCCTGACCTTTTCTTCTCTCCTTAAAATTACATTTTTTCAAAGATCTTTATTCCCCTGGATATTTGTTCTTCTCCCTAATTCTTGCCTTATTGTCCAGTCCACAGATTCACAGGGGATATCTGGGCAAGAAGATGCCCATTTCTTGTCCAGGAACACATGCATAGTTCTCCATCCAGCTCTTACCCGGCAGACACTCTGCCTATTTTCATCCACATCCCAATGTTTGTGCCCAGCTTCATTCTATGTCCTAAAGTACAACGGAGAACCACTTCCAGGCCCTGTGCTCTGGGAGTTCCGAGACTTGTAGGGAAACAGTCCCAGACCAGGATATTCCCAGCTCACATGGATGGACTGGGGTTGAGAGAGAGAGAGAGAGAAGTCAGGCTAGGGTTGGGATAGAGAAGATGATTCAAATGAGACCTTGAATGATTTTTAGTAACTTTGTTGTAGTTGCTACGTGCCTTGGAGTCGGTTCTGAGTCATACACACAACAGAACACAACACTACCCAGTCCTACTTACGCCATCCTCACAATTGTAGTTATAATTAAGTCCATTACTGTTGTCGCTGTCCCAATCCATCTTGTTGGAGGTCTTCCTCTTTTGAGCTGACCCTCCACTTTACCAAACATGATGTCCTTCTCTAGGGACTGGTCTCTCCTAATAACATATCCAAAGTATGAAAAACTGAGACTCACCATCCTGACTTCTGAGAAGCATTCTGGCTGTGCTTTTTCAGATACAGATTTGTTTGTTCTTCTAGAAGTCCATGGTACTTTTACTATTCTTCTCCAACACCATAATTCAAATGCAACAATTCTTCTCACATCTTCTTTATTCATTGTCCAACTTTCACATGCATCTGAGGCCATTGAAAATACCATGACTTGGTTCAAGTGCACCTTAGTCCTCAAAGTGATATATTTACTTTTGAACATTTTGAAGCGGTCTTTGTAGCAGATTTGCCTAATGCAATACATCGCTTGAATTATTGATTGCTGCTTTAATGAACATTGATTGCACCCAAGTGAAATGAAGTATTTGACAACTTCAATCTTTTCTTCATTTTCCATAACATTGTTTACTGGGCCAGTTGTGGCATTTTTGTTTTACTACATTGAAGCGCAATCGATACTAAAGGCTGTAGTCTTCGTCAGTAAGTATTTTAAGTCCTCTTCACTTCCAGCAAGCAGAATTGTATGGTCTGTATATGGCAGGTTGTTAATGAGTCTTCCTCCAATGCTGATGACATGATCTTTTTCATATACTCCAGCTTATCAGAAGATTTGATCAGCATACAGATTCACTACGTGTAGTGCACGGCTACAACACTGGGGCAAAAACCTTTCCTGATTTTAAATGAGTCAGTATCCCCTTGTTCTATCTAAACAACTGCCCTTGGTTTATGTACAAGTTCCTTAGGAGCACAACTGAGTGTCCTGGAAAGCCCATTCTTCCCAATATTATCCGTAGTTTGTCATGATCCACACAGTCCAAAACAGAAGTCAATAAAGCACAAGTAAACATCTTTCTGGTACTCAATACTTTCAGGCAAGATCCATCTGATGTCAGCAATTATATCCCTAGAACCACATCATCTTAGGAATCCTGCTTGAAATCTTTGCAGTTGTACTGTTGTATGTAGTATGTAATACTGCATGTATTATGTACAGTAGTACTGTGTACAATAGTCGATGTATTATTGCAAACATTTTTTAACATTATCTTCAGCAAAAATTTACTTTCAAGTAATAATGATATTGCTTAATGATTTCCACACTCCATTTGGTCACCTGTCTTTGGAATGGACACAAAATATGTATCTCTTCCAATCAGTTGGCTAGGTCGCTGTCTTCCAAAATTTTTGGAATAGATGAGTGAATGTCTCCAGTGCTGCATCAGTTTGTTGAAAGATTTCAATTTGTATCTCATCAATTCTTTGAGCCTTTTATTATTATTATTATTATTATTATTATTATTGCCAATGCCTTCCATGTAGCTTGAACTTCTTCCCTCATACCACCTGTTCTTGATCATATGCTACCTCTTGAAATGGTTGAACATTGATCATTTCTTTTGGATACAGTGACTCTGTAGTCCTTCCATCTTCTTTTGATGCTTTCTGCACCATTCAATATTTTGCCCATGTTTTTGTTTTTAAGTGCCATCGAGTGGATTTGGACTCATAGAGACCCTGATAGAGTTTCTGAAGAGGGGCTTGTATGTTTGACCGTCAACCTTTCAGTCCAGTGCTTACCCAAAACACCACAATATTGCAAGTTGAGGCTTGAATTTTTTCTTAAGTATTTTTCAGCTTGAGAAATGCTGAAATTGTTCTTTCTTTTTGGTTTTCTAACTCCCAGTCTTCACACATTTCATTTTAATACTTGACTTTGTTTCCTTGAGCTGCCCTTTGAAGTCTTATGTTGAACTCATTTACTTCCTCATTTCTTCCAGTCTCTTTAGCTACTCTACAATCAAGAGCATGTTTCAGAATCTCTTCTGGCATCCATTTTTGTCTTTTCTCTCTTTCAAGTCTTTTTAATGACCATTTGCTTTCTTCCTGTATGATAATTTTGCTGTCATCCCACAACTCTTCCAGTCTTCAGTCATTAGTATCTAATACATCAAATTTGTTCTTGAAATACTCTCCAAATTCTGGTGGGATATATTCAGAATCCTATTTTTGACTCTCTTAATTGTCTTCAGTTTCATTCTGAGCTTGCATATAACAAATCAATGGTCTATCCCAGTCTGGCACCTTACTTTGAATGATGACATTCAGCTTTCTTCCCACAGTCAATTTAGTAATAATTTAGGTGCAATTAGGAAATGCTCTTAGAAAATAAAACAGGCTTGACAATGGCCAATAGGAGATGGATAGCCAGAAGAACAGAAGATACTTCTTGAAAGAAAGACCAGCAAAGAAAAACAAAAATGGCAATCTGATTGATAGATAGATAGACAGATGATAGATAGAGAGGTAGATAAAAGGATAGATAGAAAGATGATTGATAAATAAATAAAATAGATGAGAGCTAGAAAAAAAGAAAGATAGATGTTATTGTTGTTGTTAGGTGCCATCGAGTCGGTGCCTACTCATAGAGACCCTATTTTCTATAAGCAAGAGCAAGATCCAGTCTTTTCTGACATTTATTTTGGTTTCCTCTTTCTCCTGTCTTGTTAATGACCTATTTCTTTCTCCCTGTATGATGTTCTTGATGTCATCCCACAACTCTTCTGGTCTTCAGTCATTAGTGCCTGATGCATCAAAGTTGTTCTTGAGATGGCTTCTAAATTTAGTTGGCGTATATTCAAGATCATATTTTTTCTCTCATAGACTAGTTTTAGTTTTCTTCAGCTTCAACCTGAACTTATATATGAGCAACTGATGATATGTTGGAAGAAACGTAGCCAGGATCCTTCTTAGAAGCCAGGATGGTGAGACTTTGTCTCTCATACTTTGGACATGTTATCAAGAGGGATCAGTCCCTAGAGAAGGGCCTGGAGGGTCGATGAAAAAGAGGAAGCACCTAAATGAGATGAATTGACAGCAACAATGGGATCAAGCATAAAAGCAATTGTGAAGGTTTTGCAGGACTGGGCAGTGTTTAGTTCTATTGTACATAGGGTCTCTATGAGTTGAAACTAACTCAACAACACCTAACAACATCAACAAATTAGTGTTTTAGAAATACGTTTTCCATTTATAACTTCCATATTTCTTTAAAAAAAAAAAAAAAACAACTTTCTCTTGTAAATTCAGTGAAGTTTTACAGAACAGAGCATCAGTCCCATAGTCAACAAATGACATACTTCATTACACTTCATTGTAATCCCTACCATGTACCATCCATTAACAGTATTTACTTCCATTCACTTTATCTCTTGCACTTCTTCTTGTATCTCATGCTAACTTCATTTTCCTTCTGCCAACCTCCTTCTTATTGCATATTGCCTTTCCCTGCACCCAATGACTCTGTACTATAAGCACTGAACCACAAGGTCAGCAGTCTAAGTCCACCAGCTGCTACTTGGGGAAGAGGAGGTTTTCAGCTCATACAAAGATTTCCACCTCAGAAACCCTATACAGGGCCACTATGAGTCAGAATGACTAAACAACACTTAGTAACAGCAACCTTCTATCAAGTGGAATATTTTTCTTAGAATATTTCATAGAATATTCATTTTATCAAGAAAACCTTTTCTTAGACAAGCAAACCAGCCTGGAGCAGCTAGAGGAACAGAAGATACTTCTTGAAAGAAAGACCAGCAAGGAAAAGCAAAAACAAAAATGGCAATCTGATTGACTACTACAAGAGCAAGCAAGTTGTTTGCCGGAAAGCCATCAAGGCAAGCAATAAAGCCCCTTCAGGACAAACCCCCTCCCAAGACTGACACTTGAAGGGAATACACGAACAGGCATGTAAGTTTGCTGGTGACCATGTTGGTCTACTGGTACGAAGAAGTGAGGGAAAAGCATCAATGAAGAGGTAGGCTGAGTCCAACCAAGTTACATAGATCCCCATCAACCTGGAGATGGTTGGCCCGAAGTATGGTGAGACCTGGGGACTCCTGAGTCCCATCGACAAGTACCTGGCCACAAGGGCTACAGCTGAGAGTTAATTGTCCAGTTGATATGAAGTGAGGGGATATGCACAAGGGCGTCCAAACTTGCAGTTAGTGCCCATTGGACCTTCAATGGCTGGATGTTCAGAACCCTACTAGAGGAAGGAGAAGGCGGGGGTGGGGGTGGGGGGATATTTGCTTTGTTATTTTTTTTTTAAAGAAAACCAGTGTAAATTGCTACAATCTGATGAACTTGACATATACTAATGGATGTGGTAGCTTAAAATATCAACCAGGAATATCAAAGAGGGAAAGAATCTTTACAGCAAGGCTCATTCCCTTCCCCTCTGTACACAGGGTTGATAGGAATGGGCAACTTAGACACTGGCTACCTAAAATGGGGGGTGGAAGGCATGAAGTGACTGGCTTACAAGTTTTCAAGAGGGAGTTCAGATTCAGAGTGGAGTAGGGGGTAGGTAGAATTCCCACTGAATGGTTTTTATCATGTATAGACAGGTCTGGTGAAAGGAGATGGAGACAATACTCTCATGATTCAATAGTGAATATTTGTTATCATGACTAATTGCAATTGTCGCAACTGTAAAGGTAAAAGTTTTGTAGCAAAAAGGGGTGAGTGGTAATCTTACAGTCCCGAAGTGGAAGACCCTGGAACCATCAAGGAGAAGAGCAGGAGCAGAGTGTGGCACCCTACCCAGAGAAGCGACAACACCAGAGATGGGGGCAGAGATGATGACATGGAGAGACAGAGCAGCTCAGGATTCTAGACTCATGGAGGCAGAGGGGATGTGTGCTGTCAGCTGGGCATCAGGCTTGCAGGGTGTGCCCTTTGGCTGTTTGAATGATTGTGTATTCCTGAGTGTTTTGGTGCACATCCAAAAAAAACCACAGAGGGAATAGAAGCAAATACTGTTGAATGATTAATCATGCAGGGGGGAATATAATCATTGCAGTGAAATGAATACGATTGTAATCATAGCAATGAAAAGAATATGATAGGATGGGTGTAAAACTGATGTTCCCCCATGTAAACTATCACTCAATTCGCAAAAAAAACTTTAAAAAAAAAAAACTTTTTGCAACAGTAATCTCATATATTTGTCCTTTTGTGGTTGATTAATCCCACTCAGCATAATGTCCTCCACGTTCATCCATGTTGAATCATTTCACAGATTCATCATTATTCTTCAATGTTGTATAGTAGTCCATTGTTTGTATGTACCAAAGTTTGCTTAATTATTCTTCTGTTGATGAACATCTATCTCCATCTTTTTGCTATTGTAAACAGTACTGCAATGAACATAGGTGTGCATATATCTATTTGTATCCTGGCTTTTCTTATTTCTTATAAGGATAAATACCAAGTAGAGGGATTGCTGGTTCATACAGTATTTCTATTTCCAACTTTTTGAGAAATCACCATACCATTTTCCACAGTGGTTGTTTTATTCTTCTGTATATGGAGTTTCAGTTCTAAAAAGCACTTATTTGTTGAAGAGACAATCTCTTCCTCATTTTATGTGTTTTGGCCCTTGGTCAAAGATCAGGTAAATATGGTCACTGTTACTAAATGCCATTGAGTCGGTTCCAACTCATACGTATTCTGTATAGGATTTCCAAGGATCTACTGATGGGGTTGAACTGCCGAGTTTGTGGTTAGCAGTCCAGTGCTTATCTTACAGTGCCACACCAGGACTCCAACTAAGTGTAGGTGGATGAATTTACTTCTGGGTTCTCAGTTCTGTTCCATTGATCGATGTGCCTTTCATTGTGCCAATGCCAAGCTGTTTTGACTACTGTGGCTGTATATTGGGGTTCAGACAGGGATGTAATAGGCCTCCTACTATGTTCTTTTTTAGTAGTATTTTGCTTATCCAAGGTCTCTGTCCTTTCCATATAAAGTTACTGCTTAGTTTTTCCATCTCTTTAAAGAAAATGCTGGAATCTGGATTTGTTGTTGTTCAATTTCAGCTGTCTAAAACTGTAAATAGCCACACAAAAAGAAGAGGACAGAAAAAATCAGAAAGACGTTGTATAAAAGTGCCATTGGGTGGCAGGTGGTTGGGGAGGTCTTTACTCCCAAGTTGATTGTTTGGGGGGGGCGGGTCCTTAGGGACGATCTGTCCCAGCTGCCCTTCCTGACCATGTGCATCAAGGAGAGTCTGCGATTACATCCTCCAGTCATTGGCGTCTCCCGCTGCTGTACCCAGGACATAGAGCTTCCTGATGGCTGGGTCATCCCCAAAGGTGACCACATGGCAAGAGCCGGGAGCGGGAGGAGGGGGGACAGCATGGGTTTTTGGCAAGAAGGTGAGCCCATCAGGGACCTTGGCCTGACTGTTCCCTCCTCTCACAGGCATCAACTGCCTCATCAGCATCTTCGGGATCCATCACAACCCGTCAGTGTGGCCAAACCCTGAGGTGCTGCCCTTACCCACCCACCCTTAACCACTGCAGGAGCCTCCGAAGGGGGCGGGGTCCTGAGTGTAGACACCAAATCTGGTACTATATGCATATCTGCTTCTTAAGGATTATGAATTCTGAGAGGCTCCACCCATCATCTCTATTTCCCACCTCTAGGTCTATGACCCCTTCCGTTTCGACTTAGAAAACAGCCAGAAGAGGTCACCTCTGGCTTTTATTCCTTTCTCTGCGGGGCCCAGGTGAGACCTGAGGCGTCTGAGGGGAGATGGGGTGAGAGGTGGAGGGTGAGGTCGGGGACTTCGTCTGGGCCAGTTTGTAGCAGAGGAGTTTCAGATGGTCTGAGCCCCCATCCCCTTCACTTCCCTCCCCTGGACGTTTAGAGGCGAAACTGGGAGAAACGAGATGGGATCCAAGGAAGGGGTCCTGAGTGCCCAGAACCCTTCCTCCATCTGCTATTTTGAGTAGGGGGTTACAGTCTAAAAAAGCTCAGGGACACGGAAGCCCTCCTGGGGATCCGGCATCTGTCAGACCCCCTCCTTATCCCTCAGGCTGATTAGGGCGGTGGCGGGGTGTCCCAGGCCAGTCAGATCAACCCCACCCACCCAACCCACAGGAACTGCATCGGGCAGACATTCGCCATGACGGAGATGAAGGTGGCCGTAGCGCTCACGCTGCTACGCTTCCGCATCCTGCCTGACCACACGGAGCCACAGAGGAAGCCTGAATTGATCCTGCGTGCTGAAGGCGGACTGTGGCTGCAGCTGGAGCCGCTGAGTGCCAATCCACAGTGACTCCCATCCCTTAGACCCACCTAACTCACCCACCTAAATTAGCAGACACCCAGAATAAAACTCTGCTGTCACCTCTGTCTGAGCCTCCCCCTGGAGTCAGCAGGGTCACATGGGGACTAAGGAACCTGAGGGTGAGAGTGGTTGTGTGGAAACAGGGCCTGTGTCTCTGAGTCCAAGATCATCCATGCTGCCTGCATGTCCTTCCAGAGCCTAATGATGAAATTGGCATAAAGGAAACAGGGAGCCATAGGAGGTGTTAAGCAGGAGAATAATCAGGACTGAGGGTGAACATAAGGAATAAAATTGAAGTCATGTGTCAAGGAGGGAAACTATAGTGGCTGGGCCGTACCTTAGAACACAGGGAAGGGAATTCCCACAGCTCACACCCAGGCAGCCTCTTCAAGATTCTCAGGTGTTTCTTCCCAGGTGTTTGTTGCCAATGACCAAGCCTCTCTCTGTATCCCCTTGTGTATATGGTGACCACCTTCCCCTGCCTTCAGAAAGTCCCTCTACTCTTCCTCTGGGCCCCTGGTACGCAGGCTCCCTGGCCAACACATTGGCTGAGCTCACTGTGTGGACACATGTGCTCTCATGGGATGGTCAGGAAGAGGTCCTTCACCTCCAGGTTCCACCTTTCCCATCGCAAGCCTCCTGGCTGGTCCATCTTGGGGTGGGTTGGGGAGCAGGGAATCTTGTTTGATGAATGGTATTCAAAGCCAGACCACTGGGAACAATAATAACCCCCAAGAACATGTGCTGGGAGCTGCTCCTCTTCAGCCGTTTGACACAGTCCTGGCAGAAGGAGAAATATCATGCACAGCACATGATTCTCTGGAGTGGCATCCTCTAGCTCCCCTTTAGGATGACTCTGAATTCACTTGTAAGAATATTGTACTGACTGTGAGCTCTGCAGACCTTAGGAAGAAACCGGTCTGGCAACAGTTGTTTCAGCTTCACTGGATTAAATTCAAAGGGAATTGTCTGAGCTACTCCCTCTCACAGAAAACCTGAGTACAAAGCAGCTGCATTTATGAGATCACAAAAGCAGATAACAAGCTAAAGTGAAGCTGACCGACCCCTATAGACCTCACCTACATCAATTACCAGCCAGAATTCACAAACCCCCCTCTACTACATACAGGCACCTACATAATTGGGCAGAGAACGGTGAACATAAATGAAAGGTGGTCAAAACTTAATAATCTACCTTTCCTGCAGCAATTAGCCAGGTTGGGCCTTTTTAACATGCCTCACGGCCCCAAAAAAAAGAAACATAGGAACACTGTGGTTAAGCAATTTAATGAATACTTTAGAAAAACAAAATAATTAAGTAGATGTTAGTAATGCTTTTACTATAGAAAATAGTAGTACTTTATATAGGATAAAAGATTGATAATTAGCTAGTAGAAACAAAGTAGTGTAGGCATTGATGATTAATAGAAACTTATATTACTAAGACGATGTAATCAGGGGTCTGAGAAGTGGAAATGATTTGTGTAAGGTTTAACTTGATCTTTTAGTGGGAATACGAAGAAACAATTTATCACTTACGTAGGAAAGGAGATGATGTAAAAAAAAAATGCTTAATGGTTAGAAAATGAACAGGATATTGGAAAGGTCAGGTTGGACATCATAGAAATACTTTTGTTAAGGTTCTATAATCACAGGGTAAAAGAATGTTATGATTAAAAATGTGTAATAATTCAAGGGAAAAATCAAGGTGTCAAATCATTAGGCACTGTGTAGTTTTTTGTTTTGTTTAATTGTGTATATTTTTATTTAAAAATCAGAACATTTCAAATAACTTTATATATTTTCAGCTTCTTTTTTTAAAGGGAAAGTTGGATCTGACAACACTGAGCCTACATGTAGGCATTCAGTTGAACAGTTGAATGGAGGCAGGATGCTCCTTCAGAGGCTATTTACATTCTGGTTTTTAGGACTATAGGTCTTGTCTCTCAGCCACCTAGCTTCTGTAAATACCTGTGATCATGATCTTTGGGTTAGAATCAGCAAAGGGCACCACACTTACACCTACTACTTCAACTCAGGCCTGACTCTACAGATCTTCTCAGCAGATTGGTGTCTTTGAGCTCAGGTTCCTCCATGGGAGGGATTACTCTGAAAGGGCTGTAGAAGACCTGAATCTACCCAAGTCTCTGAAACTCTCACTCCTGAAAAGGAATCAGCTGAGCTTCACCTTGATCAGACCTTCAATCTCTTCTTTTCTGTTTCTTGTTTTTGGCCCTCTGGCCAGCGTTGACTTCAGCTCTTTCCTTCTCTGGATGCTGCTGCTTTTTCCTCTTCTTATCTCTACTGCTTGGACTAGTATGTGTTCTGCTCTCTGTTTCCCTAGTCATGCAGCCCCTGCAGTCTCCTCATCTTCATCCTCCTCTTTATTCTGCTTCCTTTTCTTCTTGCTTCCCCTGCTACTTTGGTCACTGCCTGCTTTGTTTGCTGCTTCTCTAGTTCTGTCATTTACAGAAGCTGCCTTGTCTTCTTCATCCTCTGTGTTCAAACCGTCCTCCTCCTCACACTGCCGTCTCTTCTTGTTTCTGCTGCATTGGTCAGTGTGTGCTCTGTCCTCCACCTCCTCTGCAGCCTCCTTACCCCCTTGTCCTTTATCCAAGATCCCTTCCTCTTGCTGCCTCCTCTTCTTTTTCTTCCTTTTCCTGAGGGGTTGATCAATTTGTTCTCCAATCTTCAATTCCCCAAGCCCACTTGTTCCTACAGCCTCTTCCTCACTCTCTACAGTTCCCTCTCTCTCATCTGAGATTTTGTCTTCTTGATGTTGCCTTTTCTTCTTCCTGTGCTTCCTGCTCTCTAAGACTGAAGTCAGTCTGTTCTAGGTGTTCATACTCTGGTCAGTCTTTGCTGGGCATTCCATTTATCCAGTCCTTTCAGTTGCTGTAACCTCTTCCACCTCTTTTGGTTTCTTTTTCTTTTTTGGGGGGGTGGGGGGACTTGCTGTCAGACTGTGACTGAGTGGCCCCAGGGTCCTGGCCTTTGAGAGGAGCCAGGAAGGCCTTTTCCTGGGCCTCCAGCCGAGCAAGCTTAGCTTTCATTAAGATCCCAAGACGGGCAAGTTTGTGCGCTGTTCGCCCCTCACAGGCTTGGAGCTAAGGGATTTTGCCAAAACCAACCCTGCATTACAAAACATCTTAAAGGGAATTCTGTGGAATGACATCCAACAAGAACAGACAACAACCAGAGATTGACATACATGGCAGCACCACCTGGAACTCAATCAACAAATAGAAGAGTTGAGAACAGAACAAAACTATAAGAACAAATTCAGAGGATCTGTGAGGTCAGTCTATGATGAAAACAATTACAATGTGAAAGAAGGTAAACACATAGGAACAGAGATCTAGGTGGTAAAATGGTCAGGTAGATTACAGGATAAAATAGACTGTATTCAATGGAGGGAAAAGTTAATGGGATATATGGTAACCTCAAAGAAAATTAATACTTCACAACATGCCAAGAAAATGAAAATCCAAGAAGAATATGGAAACATTAAAACTGAGGAAACTGACAAGAAAGAACACACACACAAAACAACAACAACAACAACAACAACCAGAAACTCAGCACAGGAAAACATGCAGAACAAAGACACCAGCAGCACCACAAAAAAAGAAGCATTATAACAGCAATGAATCCATACCTACTCATAATCACACTGAATGCAAATGGATTAAATGCACCACTTAAGAGACGGAGAGCAGCAGAATGGATAAGAAAACAAGATCCTTCAATATGCTGTCTGCAAGAGACACACCTTACACACAAAGACAGAAACAGACTAAAAGTCAAAGGATGGAAAAAAATATACCAGGCTAATTGCAATTTAAAATGAGCAGGAGTGATAATATTCTCCTCCAACACCATAGCTCAAATGCATCAATTCTACCGTCTTCCTTATTCATTGTCCAACTTTCACATGCATAAGAGGTTACTGAAAATACCATGGCTTGAATCAGACAACCTTAGTCCATAAAATGATATCTTTAGAGGTCTTCAACAATATAGCACAGCAGATTTGCCTTATGCAAGACATCATTTGATTTCTTGACCGCTTCTTCCATGAATGTTGATGGTTGATCTGAGCAAAATGAAGTCTTTGACAACTTCAGTCTTTTCTGCATTGATAAGTATGTTGTTTATAGGTCCAGTGGTGAAGATTTTTGTTTTCTTTATATTGAGTCCTTTTTAAGTCCTCTTTGCTTTCAGCAAGCAAGGTTGTATCATCTGCATATCGCAAGTTGTTAATGAGTCTCCCTCAATACTGATGCCACATTTTTCATCCTATAATCCACCTTCTTGGACTATTTTATTAGTATACAGATTGAATAAGTATTGTGAAAAAATACAAACCTGTCACACACTTTTCCTAATTTTAAGCCATTCGTTGTTCCCTTGTTCTATGTACAGGTTCCTCATCCTCATGAACACAAGTGTTCCAGAATGCTCATTCTCCACAATGCTGTGCATAGCTTGTCATGATCCACACATTCGAAAGTCTTTGTGTAGTCAATAATGCACAGGTAAACATTTTTCAGGTATTCTCTGCTTTCAGACGAGATCCGTCTGATGTCAGCAATGATATTCCTTGTTCCACTTCCTCTTCTGAATCCAGCTTGAACCTCTAGAAATTCTCGGTCAATGTATGGTTGCAGCCATTTTTGAATTATCTTTAGCAAATTTTGCTTACATACGGTATTAATAATACTGTCTGATGATTTCCACATTCCATTGGGTGATCTCTCTTTGGAATGGACACAAATATGGATCTTTTCCAGTAAGTTGACTAGGTAGTTGTCTTCCAAATTCCTTGGCATAGATGAATGAGTGCCTCCAGGGCTGCATCAATTGTTGAAAGATTTCAATTTGTATTCCATCACTTCCCAGATCTGTGTTCTTTGCCAATGCCTTCAATGCACCTTGGACTTCTTCCTTCAGTGTCTTTGGCTCTTAATCATATGCTACCTTTTCAA